AAATACAGAGCATAAAAGAGAAGAAAAGGCAGTGAGAGAGCGAAAGAGACAGAATGAAAGTGTTAAATAGTCGTCGATAAAAGAGATACTAACTGGAATATTATTGTCTTATATTTGACGTTTTCTCTTATGTTGCGAATCTATTAGAATGAATAAGAAATATTGTATATACTATTAATACACAGATAAAACGATGCATATTACACGTTATTATAATCTTTACAAATATGCTAATTATCCTAAGACTTAATTATTAATAACTAATTGAAAGTAATTGTTATGGTAGTTTTTTCATTACCTCATACCTCATCCTTTTGTGTAAAATAACTCACGTGTAAACTTTACGACTTAGTATTCAATTGAAATAGGACAAAAAGTAAATAATTTCTCAATAATTACACGAAAGAATCTTCAAATTAAAGTGCTATATTGTTTTTATAAAATATTACACATTTTAATACGTATTATTCAATGAATTTATGAAATATCATATTCTTTTTTGAAACGATTAAATTCTTTTAATCTGTAAGCTTGCGTGCGAATGAAACCACCCGCGTCCTCAAGTTCGAAACCTCCTTTCATGTCCATCGAAACTAGTCTTTCATTGTATAAAGATGCTTTGCTATGCCGGCTACGTATAGACACTGTAAGATTGAAGCATGATAAGAATTTGTTTTTAAAATTTGCCTGATTAATACTAACCGGTTCCTTTGTACAATTGTAATCGAACTGTTCCAGTCACGTATCTTTGTGAATATAATATACCATTCCGTACAAAGTCACATTCTGGAGAAAACCAGAAACCTGAGAAATATTTTATTACTTGTGTTTGAATATATTCTTTCATTTTACGAAATTATTGTTATATATATATATATATATATATTTTTTTTTTCCTTTTACCATTATAAACGTAATCTGACATTCTGTTGGTCAAATAAGACTTCACTCTTGAAACCTCACGATCTAATACAAACGTTTCCAATTCTTGGTGTGCCTCGTATAGAATTTTAACCCCCGGTGATTCGTAAACTCCTCTAGACTATTAATGATAATAAGTATATAATTATTCTAGATAGATATTCATAGAAGATATTTACAGTTGAATTTCATTTTACTCACTTTCAAACCAATGAAACGATTCTCAACAATGTCGATACGTCCTATACCATGTATCCCACCGATTTCATTCAAACATTCTATTATTTCAAGTGGGGTGAAGAATGTTTCATTATTCTTTAACTTTTTGACAGACGATGGATAACCTTGCTCAAAACTGATTTCAATTTCTTCTGGTTCCGTCGGGGAATTTAATGGATCATTGGTCATTTTGTATATTTGTTTCGGTGCTAATGTGGCAGGATCTTCCAAAATGCCCGATTCATAACTAAAATTATATGCGTATTTAAATTTCAATTTTCCTCCTTCTGTGTACGTTTAAATTTATCAACTATAATTATGTCAGCTATACCTGATATGTAATAAATTTGCATCAGTACTCCATGGTTCTTTCGGTGTTGCTGATACAGGGATTCTATTTTGTTGCGCGTATCTTAACAAATCTGGTCTCCCTGAAAATCTTGTATAAAATTCTTTCTCTCTCCAAGGTGCAAGTATCTGGATAATGAAATAAGAAGGTTGTACACAAGGTTGTTTAAAAATCTATGAAAAGAATTGAAAGTTGAAATATAGTACCTGAACATCAGGAAAAAGACTGTAACAGCTCAATTCGAAACGAACTTGATCATTACCTTTTCCGGTCGCTCCGTGAGCGATTATAGACGCATTTTCGGATTTTGCAATCCTCACCAGAGCTTCACTAATGCACGGTCGAGCGATTGCTGTGCCCAAAAGATATTTACCTTCGTAAAGTAGCCCGCATGCAATAGCTGGCCACACAAACGAAGATAGAAAAGTCAATCTAAGGTCTTCTATTATGACCTTTTAAATAAGAGAAAGTCATTTACAATTAGATAGAAAGATTAGTAATTCTTTTCGCTGTGAAAATTACTTTCGACGTAATTCGGCGTAATTTATCTGTAAATTAATTAGAATTTTGTCGATACCTTTACAGCGCCAATTTTCAATGCTTTCTCCCTAGCGACGTTGAAATCCTCTTCTTGTCCAATATTTGCCTAAATTGAAATCCTTATGTATAATATTTATTTTTAAAAAAAAAAAAAGAATAATTATTTGAAGTACATTTACCATATAAGCGATAACATGATATCCTTTTTCTTTCAACCATAGTAGTATACAGGACGTATCTAAACCACCACTGTATGCTAGAATAACTTTCTTTGATGTTTCAGACATTGTTTGAAGTTCTAATGAATGACGATTTGAAAGCACTATTAAAGGCAACAGAACAATTATTTTAAAATGACAGTTGGATTTCATTAAGAGCAACAGACAACTCTGAACGTTGACCTATGATTAATGATAACCCATGAATGATTGCTACAATAACGGTATAATTTTAACAAACAAGTTGTCTTTATCTTTACTCGATATGGTGCGGTATATGTATAAAAAAAGAAACAAAATTGGATTGAAATGTAGGCCTTTATAAGCAGAACATTTTGTTTCGACTACAGTCTACATACATACATGTATTCATATAATATATCATATAATAATCAATACCGTAAACTTTGTAATAATCTCGCCACTAAGTAATCGCAATATTAACGATCATTAACAGAATAACTTCTACCGAATATTGAAAGCGATATACAATTGCTCTGTATATGTGCAGCAGAAGTTTTAACGTGTAAGTACTTATCAATGTAGTAAAGATTTTACTTTGAATTAAACAGATATAAGTCTTTTATAATTGGACAGCTTTCAGATTGATATAAATGCGCGCTTTGATAAACTAGAAGCGGCATTTGTGCTATAATATATATAATTTAATACATATACATGCTAGTCAAATGCACTTGTTCAGTTAACGAATATTATATCGATAATATAACAAAAGTACAGTAAATAACTAAATGTACATTTATCACTTTATTGTACAGTAAGATACTTGAACATTTGTATCTTTAAAGATATTTAAACAGTTTTAATCATATATAAAATAAATATCGATTTTATCTAATATTTTCACTAAATTGCGTTCCACTGATATTAATATGACTAAAATAAATATATGATACTCAGTTGTCATATGTCAAATTGAAGAAGCAATACTGACTTTTCAAATGGAGTTGATCAAGTCTCCTTCATCATAGTGCAACAATTTTGGAGCGGGAGATAACGAAATACTAATAACAAGAAATTTACATGAATATCACGATTTTCCACTACAATACATCAAATTTCTCTGCTAAACATGTCGCTTATTATTAACAAGATGTAGTATGACATAGAATAACATACGATATTCGAGCTAGATCAATCGCGAGCCTAAATTACCATTAAGCACCTCCGTACGATTAGTATTAATATTGCCAACATGTTTGTTCATTTCGTATTAATTTTTTTTATTCTTGCAGGCACTTAACACCGGATATCTTTTTCTTCTGGCGCCATTTCCATTTCTGGTCATATGATGTTTACGATATGCCATTTTTCAATGTTTTTAATCAGTCGCTTAACTACACGACTCAAACAATTGACTGTGTATTCCTTATTTTAATTTTAATTGTAATTCGAGATCATTCATGAAATTTCGTAGCTTTTGTTATTGACGGAGCCAAAACTAATGGCACATTAGGAATGCGTGAACGTGTCTTTATCTTGTTTATAACACAAATATTTATACGTGAAGTTTGCTCAGGTCATCTAAGAAAGATTTCGGTGTTATTATGTGCGATGAACCTGAAATAAAATTATAATTTAATACTAAAAATAAGTTAAATGAAAATTTCGAACACACACACACACACACGCACTTACCAATTATTACTTCCCAATTTTTCAAAGCATTTGTAACCTCATAAGCGCATCGTATTTCAGAAAAGCAAACACCGCCAACGACGAAAACGATCAATCGTGGAACATTCTTAATGGTTTGTGAACCTTTATCTTTGTGCCAATGTCCATATCTAGCACTAGAAATAAATTATAATGATGTTAATATAATAATATTAATGCACAATGTCATATGTATAAAAATTTTTATTATACCTAGTTGGAGCATGATATCCCGAACTTGCTGCTCGACCAGCCAAAAAGGGAAAATGTTTAGAATCAAGTTTATCTTCAATAGCATCTTCCATAATATCTTTCATAATTGGAGTCCAACGACTCATTTGATAAGTTTGCTCTGTAATTCTTTCTTTACGTTGTACAGTATACAATTTTCTGCGATTTCCGCCCTATAAGTATATCATTAAAATAGCATCAATTTAAAGGCAAAGATGCGCATACGGTAAAATAAAATACTTACATCTACGACTATATTTATACCAATGTTTGCAATGTTTACTATGGTTTGTTTATCGTCAGCAGATATTTGAGCATGATGAACTAGGCGGTTAAGATTCTCTTCAGAAATACCATTTTTACTAATGACATACAGTGCAATAATTCGTAATTTGTCCAAATGATTGACTGTTTGATCAAGTAAGATTGGGGTAATATTTTTCATTTGGTCTTTGATACGTTCACCTTCAGCGTCTGTGCCCATTGCTAAATCCTAATAAAACATGATACATAATTATGATAAATAAATCAATATGAGAATTAAAAGAAACGTACCTGTTCTACTTTGCAGAGTTTATCTACGCTCCCTTGATAACGTTTCATACAATCTTCTGCTAATTGTAAATGTGTTGCATATTTGCTCAATTCCTTTTGATACTGTGGCATTTTTTTGATCATTTGCGAAAGGTCTCTCATGCTCTGTTTGTCTCCTTGCGGCATTCGTTTTGATTCTGTGAATTTCTTCAAATTTTTAGTAACGTTTCTAGAAACAACAACATGTATTTCGTAAGCGATACCGCACTGTTTTCTTTCATGAACTTTTCAATGATTTTACTCACTGTGAAACCACAGCAATATGTTGATGTCTAAGATCTACCCACAGATCGTCATTTTCATCCAATAACACTTCTTTCTGCACTCCTGCTGAAGCTTCGAATCTAATAAAACATTTTGAATGTTAAAATATCACTTGAAACTAATGACAATTAATATTACGCTTACCTGTAGACATCATTATCGATATCCAGCAAATCGTATGCCATAGCTTGCAGCGTCAATTCGTGCAACAGCGGTGAAACACAGTCAAACCCTCTATCCAGGATGAGCAACTGAGAGCGTGCTTTTTCAGGTCCTTCGCCCATCGTCGGTTCATCTGCTTTGTAAGCATCTAATTTTTGCTGAACCATATGTGCCAGCTCAATATTTCGATCAAAATCGCTGTAGAGGTAATGAAGGATCAAAATAATAAAGAAATAATTTAACTCTTAGATAGAATCAATTAATACAAACAATTTGTACTGGATAATTTTATTAATTATTGTAATACAAAAGAATAGAAAGATATATCATACCTGCGGTATCTAACCGATGGATATTCACCAAGAGTAGCACAAAGCGTCGCGATCTGTTCAGCTATTCTTTCCATGTTAGCTGTTCTCAAGTTGGAAAAGGAAGCGTTATAAAAGCAGGCGAATGTTTCACGCGAATCCAAGGAGAAAACCTGTTTGATTATATATATTCGTTTTAACATTACCTTTGCATCGATTGCCTTATACTATAAGCTATTATAATAAAGCTACATACTTCAATGACAATATAATTATAAACACGTACAAATTAATACATATATATACATACATACATACATACATACATACATACATACATACATACATACATGTAAATTGATAATATTCCAACAATAACTAATAAATAATAATAAGTAACAGGATAAAGAATTGCATGCGTTGAAAAGAAGTTTTTGAACGCGAAAGGAAAGACACAAGGACACACATGTAAGGTAATTGTAGAAGTCTTTCGCCTATATTCTACCCCGTATATAAAATAAAGAACTCAAGCATACAGAGAAATTCTGTTTATCGTAACTGAGAGAATTGGAAATATGTGGTAACTATCGCTAGCAGCTACAATTTTTCTTCTTCTTTTTTTTTTTTTTTTTGGTTTGTCACCTGCGACTCGTAAGGCAGGAAAGCGATGTTGATCTCTTTCAGGGTTTTGATCTTTCTAGCGGCGAGAGACTTGCAGAGTTCATTGAACAGCTCCTCCGGACACACTGGTAGCGTGCAAGCATGAATGCATTCCATCGTTAGTACGTGCTTTATATGTGAGTGTTGTACAAAATAAAGGAGTAGGAAACAAAGTCAAATAATTCTGTCATTGACATTGTCATCATTTCCGATTAATCGAGAGAAACTGAAAGACAGGCTTTACAAGTTGAAACACCAGATGGATCTGTAAAGGATGTTGTGTGACACGTGTGTATGTGTGTGTGTGTGT